TTGTGGCATTAGAGTGTTGATTTAAAGAAAACTGAAGGATTTAAGAAAAAAAAGAGTTCAGGATGACAAGGGACACTAAAATCCCCCCAAAATCCGATCCTTAGGAAAGCTGTAGGTTCTCTGTCAGCTGAGGTCAAGCTGGGTAGTCCGTGTAAATTTAGTCTGTAGTACCCATTATAAGCTAGTAATAGCCTATCCAGTTATAATTATAGATCCATGGTGGGAGTGTGCCCAGAAGTCTTGCAAATGGGTTTTTCATTGTAGTAAAACTACAAAAACACTTTTCTTGTGAATTACTTTATATCTAATTATTTATACATAATTTCATTCATTTTTAAAGAAAACAAAATAATATATTTCTCATTTGGATCAATTACAACTTGTGTATGTGAGTACCTTATTTTTGTATGTTCTTAATTTTACTTTGTTGAATGCAGTGGGGGCGGGTCCCGGCTCAAAAAGTTCCATAACAATAGCAACTATCTGAATGATGTCACTAAGACACGCCCCCGCCGCCTGTCAACTCCCGCCCACATGTTTCGGACAAACACTGCCGAAATGAATCAAATACCACTTGTCACTTTAGACGAAAATGATATACCAGGGGCAAAATTCCACCATCAAACCATCTGGGATCATAGTGTAGACCAATTAAAACGTTGGCTTGAATGTCGTGGTCTGTAACTGGTAGAAAGTTTGAATTGATAAAAAGGTAATGGTGAGGATTATGCTAACGTTATCCTGTCATTTAAATTGCAATGCTAGCGCTTTCTTTGTTTTTGTTTTTTGCTGTGATTAACTTCCATTTATCAAGTTGTTTTTTGTACTGTCCACTTTGTAATTAGTTTGATCATTAGTTAGTCTGTCAGCTGATATTATAATAGATCCATGGGGTCACAACGGGCTACGCCACTACTGTCTCAGAAACTATCGGAGCTGGCCACACTCAATAAACGCAAATGACAATCAATCAACACATTTAAATGTTAATGGGAGAATATATTATACATACATTTGTAACACACGTGAACAGAGGTTTTCAGAAGTATCGCTTTTTGGACAAAAAGTCCAAAGTAGAATCCTCGGGCAAGTTTGGGAATGTAGGGAAATTACTTTGGACAAAACTGTGGATCTGCAAATATCTAAAAAAGTGTTGCTTTGGGATAGAGAATTTAGACGAAAGCTGCTGGAAGGAAGCAAAAACATTGTCAATAAAAAGATCTTTAAAGGACTATACACCATGTGTGGACCAAACTAAAAATGCTCTATCGATAAGCGAAGGGGGAAAAAAGTGATTATTTGCTAATGGAGCATTATGCGAGTAAAGTTGCAGGCCAAAATATCGTTCGAATTGTGTCCAAATTTTGAGAGATATTCTAACAATCTTGTTCTTAGCATATTTTATGGTCGGACGTTGGATAGGTGAATAAAGTAAAGCTGCAAGAGAAACTGGTTTAGCAGAGTTCCTCTCCATGATTAACCAGTCTGGAGAAGATGTTCCAGACTGAAGCCAATATTTAAGAGTTCTAATGTTTGTGGCCCTGTAATAATACCTAAAATTAGGCAAAGACATCCCTCCCAGCAACTTAGGTCTTTGTAAATAATTTTTGGACAACCTCGAGATCTTCTTATCCCAAAGAAATTCTGAGATGAGTGTATCAATTTGACTAAAAAAGGAGCTGGGTAGAAAAAGGGGGATACACTGGAACAAATACAGAAAGCGAGGCAGGACATTCATTTTTACACAGTTAATGCGTGCTACCAAAGACAGTTTGAGCAATGACCATCGTTCAAAATCATCTTTTACCTTCAGCATTAAAGGGGAAAAATTAATTTTAAACAAGTTCTCCAAGTCTGATCCAAGATAAAAAGGTGTCTCCTAAACCAAATTTCTTGACTGTATAAAACAAATGAGGCTATTCCACGCGTTCAAAAGCCTTTTCGGCGTCTAACGAAATGAGTGCTTCTTGTGAGTTGCTTGGTGAGGTATCATAGATTATATTGAATAGTCTCCTAAGATTAGAAAAAGAATGTCTATTTCGAATAAAACCTGTTTGGTCCGGATTAACAATAGTGGGTAAATGAGATTCAAGGCGTGTAGCCAGAACCTTGGATAACAGTTTAAAATCTACATTTAATAGGCTTATGGGGCGGTAAGATGAACAGTTAAGGGGGTCCTTTCCCTTCTTCAAAAGAACTGAGATTGTGGCCTGATTAAGTGTTTGGGGTAAAACTCCGGAATTAAATGGTTCATTATACATGTCCAACAGCAAAGGGGCAATTTTATCTTTGAATGTTTTATAAAACTCCGACGGATAGCCATCGGGGCCCGGACATTTCCCACCCTGAAGAGACTGTATGGCAGAATTAAGTTCAGCGAGAGCAATTGGTTTGCCCAAATTAGTAGCGGTTTCCTGAGTGAGCGTGGGAATAGTTAAACCTGAGAAAAAAGTTTCAAAATCTTCATCTGTAGGAGTGCATTCAGATATATAGTGAGTTGTAAAATGTTTTAAAGGTCGCATTAATTTCCGAAGGATCAGCTGTTACACTCTGAGCTGCTTGGATTTTAGTTATCTGGCGAGAGGCAGATACCTGTCGGATTTGGTGTGCCAGCAATTTACCAGCCTTATCACCATGCTCAAAAAAACAAGCACCTGATTTTAGCATAAGTTCAGTAGTACGGTAAGTCATAATTGTGTCAAATTCTGTTGTAATGAAACACGATCCTTATACAAATTCGGAGAGGGTGAGAGTGAATATATATTGTCGAGTTGTGAGATTTGCTCTCTCAAACTACGTAGCTTTTCTTGTCTCACTTTATTGTAACCCAGGTGACAAATCCTGCTAGTGTTTTTCCCCTTTGAATATACCACTGCTTGGCCTACTGCTTGCTCCACCCATTAGCCAATCAGATCCCTTCTAGCCAATGCATGGTTTTATTGGTTAGAGGAAAGCAGGTTCAGGAAGTGCTGTGGGGGAAGCTGTGTAGGGAGTGGCTGCAGGTGTGTAGTGTGCTCACTTTACTGTTTGATGCCTTTGTGTTCTGCTTGATGTTTATTGTACAAACTTGCCTCATGTAGGAGCCTTCTATTTGCCAAAGAATAGTGATCAGCTCGCTTGTGAGGAGGAATACAAGGAATTGGTGAGTGTAGCTTATTTCACACTGTAGCATAGCCATTTCTAGCCACATCCATTTTGTATTAGTGGAGTGGTTAACATGTGCTTTATGCAAGCAGCTTTTATGCCTGTTCTGCTCATCAGTAATGCTTTGCTTTTACTTATGAATGTTATTTAATGATATTGCATTCATTGTTTAACTTATTGACTGTTTATTGAATGTTTATTGAATGTTCATTGAATGTTTGATTTATACTGTTTAATGACTATGACTACAGCTAGTACATTATGTTTATATACACTGTGAATATTTATATACTAATACTGATATGGTTTTTAACCCTTTGATAATGATGGATTATAGTACAACCTGTGCTGTATTGTAGAATTGTGTGCACACTGGAGCTTAACTATTTAGTTAGCTTTTGATTTATTTGAGCTTTGGTCCTGTTCTACAGGCCAGGTTTTGACCCTGATGGCGAGCTGAAGGACCAGGCCTAGAGCCTACAGAGTAGAGCCCTGCACGGGCCTATTATCTGGGCCCGAGCCCGGCCCTGGCCCGAGGGGGTGGCGCCCCAGCCCGGCCCGGCCCGATATGGTTTCTCAATTTTCAGGCCCAAAACCCGCATCAAGCCCGCCTTTTTTTTTTTTTTTTGTAACCTCCCATAACAATGTTTTAGCGTAGTATATAGTGCCGCGCACTGATATGAACGCAGACTTAGCTAGAGGGCGGAGTTATACATGGTAGTGATGTATTGCAATGAGTTCTGTGTGTGCGGAGTGGTGCAGAGTGAACATCTGTATGATTGGAAGGAAGCATGAAGCGGCTGCAGCAGGAGCAGTGGGTGGTGCGTTCGTAAATGTAATCTGCCGCTCTGAAAAATGAAGAGCCGAGCCCCGGCCCGTGTCCGAGGTCATTATGCGGTCATCGGCCCGAAGCCCGGCCCTCGGGCTGTCGGGCCGTCGGGGCCCCGGGACGAGGCTAACTATGGAGCAGAGAGCTTTGTGCTTCGAAGGAAAAGCAGTTTGGGCTCAGAGCCTGATATACAGGAGACTGTGGACTATCTAACATATATATAACTTATAAACTGTGCAGTCGTTTGTTTTGCACTGTTCCTGTCTTTGTTTGAATCGTAGCTGCGTTTGTTGCTTTCCTCCTGCACTCGTAAATCATTCATATTTGTCTCAGATATTTACCACTATTATTGCTTTGCTGTTTGTGCTGAAAACTATTTCATAATAACTATGTTTCCAACAAGAACTGTGTCTTTATTCACAGCATCACAGTTGAAATGACTTATAAAATAATGAATCCATAAAACTATTGAAGAAGACGACATGTCTGGGATCGTGTCTTTCATTCAGACAGAAGACATGTTTTATTGTCGATGGTAGAGACAGCACGAACAACACGAACATAGAATGCAAGTGTATTATACAGAGCGGAGGCATGGAGACCTCCAATCAGCATCTGCCACAGTGCCAGCAGAGATAGTCAAAACATGAAGTGGAAAAGTACAGGCTTCTGCACATTGATAGAATGATGAGTTTAACTTTAACAAAAGTTGCTTAAAAGTGTTATGAAATCTCACACTATCACATAAACCTACAGTAGAAACACGTGTAATGAACTCAAACAGCTTTGTTTGCTATTGTTGTTCTGAAGAGGACAAAGTAGCAGCGTAAATGGGACCGCTCCTGTGTGATCGCCCTCATGTGGTTTGTTGTGGGATTACAACATTCTCCTCAAAACTCCGGAAGGGGAACGCGCCAGTATAACATCCATTGTGCTTACGTAGGTCCACCGCAACCGCTAACGTAAGCCACGCTGCGCAAGTATACACTAGGCTTATTATCCACACACACGTATTTGGCGCAACGCATCATGGGAGATCCTCCACTGCACACAACGGGAGGGTCAGACGAGTTCCGCTAATCTTTTGGTCCCCGTGAAGTCCTATGCGCTACTGAGTACAAGCCATTCATTTGAGTACGGCGCCATCTTGGATCAACAGGGCTTGGGGGAGGTCTGTTTGATGCAGATATAAAAATGTAGCTTGTTGTGATACTTTGTTGTATTGTGTGTATTCATTAATATCATGTTGTGTTTTGTGTGTGGATGGGTGAATCATGTAAACTAATCTCCTGTTTATATTGTCTTTTCTAAATGAACCTTTGTGAGCATCATGTTATAATTGTTATGTTTAAGTTTGTTTGTCCATTGTTGAAAACTTTCAATAAACATGTTTTTAAAGTCCAAAAGTCCTGTTTATGGAGCTCTGCACCTGTGGCCTCAGCCCCTGGAGACCTCCTCCCCTCCATCTCTTCCTCCGAGGTGGAGCTGATGACTGTGAGGAAGGAAACAAGAGCTTTACAAAATATGAATGACTAAATAATGATAGTACTTAAACGGGCTCTCCTCCTCAACAGTGGGACAGTCTCTCCATGTCATTGGATCATCTCTTCAACCACCAGAGTCTAGACATTATGAAGACAAAACAATATTCATTAAAACTTCCAAAACTAAAAGCCGTCCAATTGACAGCTCTGGGAGTTAGGGCACTCATGGAAATAAATGAATATTTGTGAATGTTGCAGATCAAATATTTGCTAAGATTTTCCGGAGACCATTCAGCTGACACAATAAACTCTTTGGATACAGAAACATGCATATCTAAACAGCATATGTACCTGGCTGTGAGGGGCAGCCCCAGTGCCGTGCTCACCGGCACAGAAGCGGGGTGCAGCAGGGTTCGGCGCCGTGGCCTCGAGTCTCATGGTGTCCTGCGACGCTCCGTTCAACCTGCGGAAGAGATCTGTGCGAGAGAGAGAGAGGAGAGTGTGGTCCTGGAGAAACACGTCCAGAGGGAACATCACCATGCAACACACAGCTGCAACAGCAACCTGCCTACACACACACACACACACACACATACACACACACACATACACGTTTTTGTTACCTGGTGGGTCCCTTTGACAGGGCCGTTCAGAATGGGACCCATAGACATAATCTTTTTTTACTGGGACTACTTTAAGTAATACAAAACAGTCAATAGAAACCAAACAACTATTTTAAAGGAATTTTATTTTAGATTTTTTTTTCGAATTGTAGTGATTCTATTTTTGACATAGAATTTAATGCCACTCCATGTCCGATGTCTAAGGTCATCTGGTGAGGCATTAATGCAGGCCAGGCAGTGAGACTTCCCAGGGACCTTTCCAGTCTGTATGAAAGGTGTCATGGTCTTCTCCACAGCCTTCACCTCAGATGCAGACCATGGCTTTCTTACACGTTCTGGGGAGAGAAATAAAAATATATTAGCAATATACACTCCCAGGGTTAGGACCAAGCAGCCTGGCTGTAATCCCCCACCTGGTACACTTACCAGAAGGGGCACTGCCACTACCATGGGGTGCATCTGGATGAATGGTTGAAGGTTCTCCGCTTGAAGTTTCTTTTAGCCCGTCCGTTTGTGAGAGGATCTCTACTGCTCTCCCTGTCGCACAGAAAATAAAAATACAAGTGGCCTTTAGGGGAAAAAAATCATACATATTTTAATAATATCAAGAATTACCTTCAGGCTCAATTTGTATCTGGTCGAGGCTCTTTCCTTCGAATTCCGTCACTCTTCCCTGCTCCATGGCCATCAATACTTTGCTGATTTTGGCCAGCTCCAGTGTCCCCTCTGGTAGTCTGTAATATTGTCTGTGGATGCGAATATCATGGCCGAGGAAGTTGGCTAGTATGTCCATTTCATTCTCTTTCATATTGAGAACTGTAGACATAGTAGCTATGTGCTTTCTAAGTTTGGTTGAGGATAGCATCTCTGGATGCACCGCACCACATTCTTTGGCTACCTGCCGTAGGGAGTCTGATCCCCTGATGTGGGTGTCTGCGCCCGGGCGGGAAAAGAAGTATGGGTTATGGTCAGAGATGGAACAGGCCCTTCTGTTCTCCACCAGCACCTCCATCGAAGCAATCATTTCAGGAGTCAAAAGAACCGGCACTTTCCGACTTCTTTTCCCTTTAATTTCAATGCGTTGAAAATGCTGACACAGCTTTTTCTCAAGTTGGGACAGTCCCAGAGCAATGTCAGAATGGATCCCAGTCTTACTTCTTAAGGTAAAGGCTGTCAGTGGCATCTTTGAAACCTCACCTTCCCTTCTTCGATTGAAAATAATGACCTCACAAAGAGTCAAAACTGCCAGTTTAGACCAATGCTTAGACGTTGGCTCACTTATTAGGGTTTGCACATATTCAGGTCGACATACCTCAACATGTGCATGCATGGCTCTAACGTCCTCAGTCAGAGGGAGCAGGTCCGGAGTGTTCCACTTGGCTTGCCGGAGGGTCTGTAGGGCAGCAGAAGAAACACAGACGTCCCACCTCTTCTCAAAAAGCAGCCGGCTTCGTTGGAGGTTTTTAATAAATAGTTCATCAACACAATGCTCCATTTTTGAGTCACATTCAAGAATATCTGCTAGCTTTCTGAGGCTATGGCCGAGTTTGAGGGCCAAGGATGGAGTCTTGTATTGATTTGTTTCCTCATCATATCCAGCCAGACCTGACTGCATCAATCACATGGTTAAAGTTGGAAGGAATAAAGAAATCCTTAATTGTTTTCAGTTTCCCTGCAGTTTTTGCTTCGTTAATTAACCTACCGACTTCTCTCATTTTCTGCCTAATGTAATCATGCTTTGTCTTATCATGCCCGTGTTTTAAGTACAGGTGCTCTCCGAGTCTCAGAATCCCCTTTTCTGCTTTGACAACACCCGTGACCTCATCCTGATGCATTGCCGAAATTAAAGACCACAGCTTTTTGCTGATGCCCTCCGGTACAGGCTGGGCTAGGGAGCAGAGGGACTGGACCCTACTTCTACCTGGTTTAGCCTGGGCATCTTTCTTTGAAAGCCGGCACCTGGCCACATGCCTCCACAGCGACTTTCGCTTAAGCAATGCCCCACAGTCTATGCAGTGCAAAAACTCACTGGATTTAACTGGGCAATTTGGCTGTTTAGCTGGGACTAAAGTTCCAATGCCGGCCTTTAAAACCTCAAAATTGTGCTCACGGTTTCCACTATTCCTGATCAAATCAAACTGAAGTTTACGTGCTTTAGATTTCACAGGTAGAGCCAATGCTCTGGCTACGTCACTTTCATTTCCATGTTTTCTACACTCTTAACCCGAATTAGTTGACTTTACTAGAACGTTGCTTGTAAACCCGTTGCCTCAAAATCTTTAGTTTTTGCACAACGCTAAAACAAAAAAATTTTAGTTTTATGAAGGAAACTCCTTTAGTGGCCTTAACTAAAATGTTTTAGTTCATTTTAATGTTTACCTAGTAGAATAAAGTTATAATTTTAAGCTTAATTGATTAAAAAAAATAATTTTAAACTACTTATTATGGTTTGTTCATCCTACTAATATCTTTTAGTTCATCCTACTAATATATGTTGATGCAGTTCACTAAACACTAAATAACAGAAGGAGAAATTAAGAATAAGTGCTTTTAATTGGCCAATCTTTCATATAACAACATAAACACCTCAAGTTCTCTTCTCTATCAACTTCAACAATGGAACAAAACATTTGTACAACACTGTAGAACATTTGGCACTTGAAGCGCTACAGATAAACAGGATAGAGGGAGTGAAACGGGTACAAAAGCTTACAGGCCCGGCTACATTCTTTTCACCCTGCGGGGAATGATCTCCCATTTTGAGATCAGGCTATACAATTATGAACAGCCTCTGCAAACTATTAATTGAACACACATTTGCAGACCTGTATATACAGTCACCCACCCACCCACAAAATAAGTCACACGCACACACACACAACAGTCACACACACACACAACCTCGACAGATACACCCAGACACATTTACATCACAAGCTGGTTTTTGAGTGACTGCAACTTAGGTTTAAGTTCGTTGTGACCAAGTTCCAGGAGGACCTGTTGGATGAATTGGAACGTTGCTTTCATGGACTTGGGGTAGTTCAGATGTAGAGCATAGGAAAGACCAAAGAGAAGGCACATAGCTTTCGGTAAGTCCTCTATTTTGTCCATCACCACTTGCTCCTCAATGATGATTTTTAGCGAGGTGGGATTGAGATGAGAAGAGTTGGGTACAGTCCCTTCCGGTTCCACAAGAAGGATGCCAATGTCGATATTGCAGAGGGAGTCATCGTCATCAGAGTCCTTAACAGATTAAGAGCAGAAGAAGACTCATGACTATCAATAACTTAATGTCCACACAATCAATTACAATACAATTAATCCTCTACCCACGCTTCTTCACCCCTCCACTCAAACTCCTCATTTCCATCTCTCACTCATCCTCCCTACCCTTCACATCCCTACCACATTTCCTTCAAGCCCCACCCCCTAAATCTTACCTCCACTACACCTTCCTCCTACAACACTTTCCCAGCCAATCCCCATCCCGCAATCCCATGTTTTGTTTAACATTCTGAAGATGGCTTAAGACCCAGGTAAACCCTGTTTTAGAGAAAACATTCAAACTAAGCTATCACAATTTCAGTAAGCGTTTGAGAAATCAAAATTACTTACAAAGCCTTGTTTGAAGAAATCTTTGTGCTTGTCCCCCAGAATAACTGGAAGCCCTCTGAGCACCAGTGTTCGAATGTCAGTTGGCTCTGCAGTCTTTGAACAGTAAAACGAAAAGCACAAATAAGCAACAAAGCACAACTGATAAAGCATATTATTCAATTAATTCAAAGATTGACATCTATGCAAATGCGACAAACCTTTGTCTGTTGTAAAAGCTCTGTTAAGACGTGGCCGATGTTCCCCCTCTTTGACCGCAAAATATCGATGAGACAAGAACTGTGTTTATCAATGTTGCCATAGAACTCTTTCTTCAAGTTCTTGCCCACAATTCTGTTGAATTCCATACACACCTGCAGAAAGAACAAAACAGCAGAAAGAAAAACAAAATTAGTAAAATTACAGTGGACAAAGTAGAGGCATGAGTCTATAAAAGTTAAACTTACTTGATCTTCTGTAAAAAGAGCAGGCCAACGCTCTAGCATCTCGGATATGGCAGGTACAGAATCCACCACTTCCTTTCTTCGCAATGCAAACGTTAGTTCCATCTTCTCTTTTATAAGCTGTCCATTCGGTGTTCTCTTTTGCATTTCATTAATAATGTCTTTACGTGCACTCTCAAGGGCTGCCTGATTTAGTCCATCCGGAAAGTTGGGCAAGTAGTTGAGCTCACCTTTTGTTGCCTTTTTAATGTTCTTTTTGGCTGGTGGTTCTTCCGTAGGGCCCCCCCCTCGTTTCCCTGCATTTACGGTCACATCAAGACATCCTGATAGTCTACGTTTTGTTCGGTAGTTGGCCATTTTAAATTTCAAGCTATTTTTCCAGCCACTACAGCGACTGGCTGAGCCCTTCTCTTGGAGACATGGGTGCTTGATAATGAGTGCTTTTGCAACAGAGTCAAACTGAGCATTATTTGGGTATGCTGTGTAGCTATACATACTTTCTGCCAATCTTTCAAGGATCTCGTGTTTCAGTTCTTTTGATACTTTCAGGTGTGTCCCATCACGAAGATACAGTAGATCTGCTTGTCTGAGTCTATATGCTACATCCACAGAAAAATCTGGGATATTAAAACAGGTTGGCCACCTGTTTTGTCGGTTTTGAGAAGTTGAAAGGATCTCTGTATCTGCAGCACTGGGTGTGTCACTTGACAAGTCTTCAGATCTTAGTGGCAATGTTGAGGCTGGTGAGACCGGAACCAACTCGAGAAGCGGAATAACCTTGACTGTTGGTTTTTCTGGAAGATCTATAATATTTGTCAGGTTGCAAAGCTCCTGGTTGAATTCCGGATCACAGTATTGAAGGCAGAAGTTGTAATCGAGTCCCAGTGATTGTTGAAGCATAATAATAATAATAATAATAAAAAATCGGTTTTATATAGCGCTTTTTTGGACACTCAAAGATGCTTCACATGTGTCATTATTCATTCACTCCATACACGGTGGTGATAAACTACTAATGTAGCCACAGCTGCCCTGGGGCACACTGACAGAAGCGAGGCAACCAGTATGTGCCATCGGCCCCTCCGACCACCACCAACCATTCACACACACACCAGACTCATTCTAGGCAATGGGGGTGAAGTGTCTTGCCTAAGGACACAACGGCAGTTTGGCACTTTACAGCCGCAGCCGCCCCACTGTGGCTGGTGTTCCCAGAGGTTAAGTGTCTTGCCAAGGACACAACGACAGTAGTCAGTGGGAGTCGATGGTGAAAGTCTTGAGCGGGGCTTGAACCCACGACCTTCTGGCTCAAAGGCCAACGCTCTACCAACTGAGCTACTGCCGCCCGCATACTAATGAAGTCTTCCACTGTAGTAGGCCTCCTATTCAGGGTCAACTTCCGTATGTCCCCTTCTGTGAATACCACCCTCAAGGTCATCTTCTGGTCTGCTGCCATCTTTGAATACAAAAAAAAAAAAAGGCAACAAAGTAATTGATACTTAATATATGATCACTAACCAGATTAATTTGACGGATGAATTAAAAAAAAAAATCACTAAATGGGATATGTTCTTACCATAGCCAATGATTATTTGACATTTAATTGACCAATGAACTTCGCAAATTGATAGAAATATTAAGATAGACCAAATATTTATCAATATAGAAACAGAAAACACACGGGCATACTTCTTTCAGACCCATGAGATCAAGTTTGACCAAAATAGTGATGTCTCAACACAGTATATACCGAGTGAGTGTCACCATTGAATTGTCTTCAAATCTGTATGCAGACAGAGGGAAAACATCATCAAGTTCTTTTAGTTGCACCACAGTCAATGAGGGATTAGTATCACAGAGTTCAAACGATCTGAAATGTTCATGATACCATGCAGTCAGTGCGCTGCAGACAAACAAAATCTCTGTGTTTATTGCCACAATTTGCTTGATCCTTTTAAATGTTGGGAGACCCGAGTTTGAACCAACAGAGAGTATCATATCAGCACAATATTTGATTCCATCCACAGAGGCTGATGATGCAACGAGAACTGTTTCAAGCTGTGGCACTCTATTGTGGAAAACTTGTTGGACATTCTCAGGGAAAGAAGTGATCAGTGATGTGGTGACCTTGTCAAGTTCAACTGCAGGCTTAAAAAATGAACTCGAGTCCAAACAGTAAGCCATCATTTTCTGATGCTTGACAGCCAGTGTAAGAGCCACATTTTTGAAGTTGTGAGCATTCCGAATGACCCGCTTAAAGAATTTATGTTTCCCCTCGAAACGCATAGTCCAGACATCCGACAGTGGACCAAATGCCTTAATCATCTCGGAGTAGTGCTCAATAAAGTGGTGTTTTGGACGCAGTTTATAATTGGGGAATGTAGTTTGCAACAGTTCTCTGTGTTCTGACACTTTGCACTCAAGGAAATGTAAAGACTCATCAGTGTGTCTTGTAGCTACAGCCAATTCCACAATATCTTTAAGGAGTAGCAGTATATTCCAGGCATTGTCACCTTCAGGCACTTTATGGCCAATGAGTAGTGGGAGCAATCTGATTAGAGCCCAATTCTCATGGCCATTTCCACCTATGGTGCCTTTAGTTGAGAAGCCACGGGAAATTGGCTGTGGCTGGTCAGTTTTGTCATGAAAACTATAGGGAAATGTTTTGATTGCACGGTTAAGTGTTTCCAGAGTAAAATATTTCATAGCAATCATCTCTGAAAGGCAGAGAGATAATTCAACAGGAACAACACCTTCTAATAGGTCGTGCAAGATGTCAGGGGGATAGCCACGAACAACATGAAAGTGCTCAAGACTGTCAGTAAGTGCACATCGGCCCTTCACACCATACATTTTTGCTAAAGTGGGATTTTGCTCTACCTCCTCCACCTGTTTGTTGTGAGTGTCTTCAGTTCGTGGTTCAAATGAACCAGAGCTTACCTCTTGTTCTTGGATCTGAGTCTTAGATACCATGCAGAAACGACAGAATTTGTCTACTCCAAAGCTCTCGAAGAATCCTGCAAAAGAATGGGCACCCAAATTATCAGCAGCCACATATGAAACGGTGCCTTTGACACATGCTCCCAACTTCTCTATATAGATGCCATCTTGTTCCAAAGAAACAAGATCTTTGATTAAAGGATTAAGAATTTTGGCATAGCCATATTCTTTAATATCAGAGGCTTTGCATAATAGAGCAAGTTGAATGGACTGGAGGGTAGACCTGTATTTAGATGGCACATTGGCTATCACCCAATACACTGCACTCATTTTGTGTTTCTTTCTAGATGTCCCTAATGGATTAGACACTTCAAAATCATCTGTATAAAGTCCCACAGCAATTTTGAATTCCTCACTATTAAGAAGTTTGTTTTCTCTGCAGTACAAACCATCCTTGTATGTACTGTACTCATGTGGCACATGTCTTTGTTCTGGAAGAGCCTTCTCTAAAATGTCTGCCCTATTCAACATTTTCTGTAACATGACATTGATAGGTACATATACAGCGCTGGACTTCTTGTCTCTGTCGATAACATATTCAACTGGCATAACAACAGAAAAGTTTCTGTTTACGAATGCTGCTCTCCTTTTCGAAGTGGATAAGGATCCACCCTTGCCACAAAACTTTGGTATGACATTGCACTCAGAGGCAGCCCTGACTACCTGGTTGACAACTGAATCTTCCACATTTGTGTATGCTTTCAAAATGTCACTGACTGAACTGTGCAATAATGGCTGGGAGAGTTCGTTTATCTGCAAAAGCTGATGTATGATTTCTTCAACAGAACTTTCTGGAATGTGGAGAACAGTTTGCATTTGTAAATAAAGAGCTGCTAGGTTGTGCTCCAATTGTTTCTCGAGATCACCAGGATTTTCAATGCTGGGCTCATCACTGTCACAGTCATCCACATCGGGGATGTCATTTGGGGATTCCTCTTCATTTGTTTCCCCATGTGACACTATTTCAGGTCTGAACATCCTCAACTCAGTTACTCTATGCAGTTTACTTAAGTGTGCATTGAATGTGGAATAGACGGTAGTATGAAAGTCACATCCTTTATAGGGGCACTGGACTCTGTGATTGACTTTTAAATGAGCACTGCGCAAGTGGGTGAAGAATATAGCTTCTGTGCATGATGCAGAAAAATCACAAGACTGACAGTGAAAGGTCAGTTGCAGTGTTTGCGGTTGTGTAGTTTGATCTTTTTGGTTACGATGAATGTTGGATAAGTGGACTTTTAGTGCACTGATCGACTTAAATGTGCATAAACACTCTTTGTGCAAGCAAGGAAATGGCACAGTTCTCATGTGACCTCCATGTTTTAGCCTGTAATGTTTTAAGAGGTAACCTCTCTTATCGGATGTGAACTCACAGTATCTGCACTCCCACAGCATAACTGCATAACCCTGTGAAACAAAAAAGAAAATTAATCACAACAGTCTATTTTTTCTAACAAGACACTTTTCTAAGACATTAATTTAACTAAAATTGTATTTGGATTGAGAAGTGAGCTAAACAAACGAAATGTATAGCTGAAATAACAATTTAGTTCAGTAGTCTTGATAATATTGGGACAACGGGATCAGAAAATTTGTGCTAAAATAAAATATCTCTAAATATTTAGCATAAAAAATACTGGACTTACTGACCACTGAATTCAGTGTATTTGAAAGATCATGCATGCTTTACTATTTGACCTGTGGAAATCATATGTAAAAGACCTAACTAGCAAGCTAACGCACACGTGCTTAGCTTCCAAATGTGCTTGCAATTACGGACAACGACAATTCAAAACTTGATATAATGATGTAATTTTGTTGACTTGGCACTAGTGGATAACTATTCAATAAAGTATTAATTCGCAGCACTGAGAGGAAACTACCTTGTGCTTTCAGTAATGTCTTCCAAATGAACTGGCTTTTCATCAAAACCTTTAGCTGACAGACCAAAAACGCACATGCTAAGCTTCAACCTAACCACGCCGTATCAGCCTCCTAGCATGCTTAACAATGCTAAACAAGTTAGCGTTAACTCTCGTGGTACTCTGTACATGTAAACAAAGCGCTTTCTGAACATGCAAGTCAGCAATATATTAGGAAAATGT